CGGGGTGACCTGTGGGTGTGCTTGGACCCTGTAAACTGGGTTCTGTTGAAAGACTGAGCCTCTGGGTCTGATAAACATTGTGATAAAATGATCTTCTTAACTTGTAGTGTTAAAATAAACAACTCATAATCTGGCCAATTAAAAATATTCCTCTTCCAAATTCTAACGTAAACTATTTATCAAATAGTTGTACTTTTCTAAACTCCTGCACAGATAAAAACATGAATATTTTCTTTTTAGATCAATAAGAAATAGTATTATATTAATCTTAGATTATTAAACCAACACCAATTTAATTAACTTAAAGTCCACACRCAAAATATAGAGGAAATTATTAGGTTATTAAAGATTAAGTTTATTATTTGGTTTATCATTGTTTGATTTTTTAAAGGAGCAGATATAAGAATTTTATTTCTTCTGCTGCTGCCTTTCATTTTATTTTATTTTGCATTGTTTTGTTGTGTGAAATGTTTTTAATGAAATGAATAAATGAATAAAATACTAAAAAAAATCCCAAGATACAAATAAATATATTTACAGTATTTTTTCAAAGTAAAAAATAACCAAACTATTTTGAGCCACTTAGCTTCACAGAAAAAAATACAGGAATTCATAATTTTCAGGTAGTTTTTCCACAACATATAGATTTACAAAGTATAAATAAAGATACATTGTAACTTCCTGATGTCTTAAGATGTTGCTTCAATATTTCTTAAAGTACAGTATATCAGTCCCTCCTGCAGCAGAACACCCACATCATGATGCTGCCACCTCAATACGTTACAGTAGAGATGGTGAAAGTGTCTCCTTTTTTCCTCCAAACATAATGATAACCCTTATGACCATTTAGTTATATATTAGTTTTATCAGACCAATGGACATGTCTCCAAACATTTAGGTTTTTGTGGGTGTTTAAAACTGTAATCTGACTTTTTAACATTGCTTTTGAAGAGATGTCTTCTTCTCTGAGCAGTCTTTTAGCCCGTCTGTGGATAATGGTGTAGAGGTAACCCTGGTGAAAAAAAACTTTTCTATTGTTTTTTCCTTTGTCTTTGATTTTATTTTTTACACTTATAAGAAGAAAATCATTTTAAAGTGTTTTTATTTTCTTTAAGTGAATAG